ACATGCTAACAACAGCTAACATGCTGATATTTAGCAGGTATTAATGTTAACATTTGCTAATTAGCACTAAACAAACTAAAATGTTGACCTGATGATGGCACCACATGGACCCAGTGAATTCACCCTGAGGAGAACATGAATGTCTGTATCAAACTTCACAGCAATCCATCCAATAGTTGTTGAGACATTTCACTAGATAAACACAAATAACAACCTCATGGTGGCACCAGATGAAATGTCAGGAGATCACCAAAGCCAGTATGATTCATCTTCTTGGGACCAAGAATGTCTGTACAAAATCTCATGGCAGTCCATCCAAGAGTTAAACTGTAAAGGCCAGGCAAGGTAAGTTTATAGGACATGTCAACAACAAGGCAATTCAAAGTGCTTTACATAAAACATAAAAGCAAAATAGGGAAATATGACAAAGACATTTAAAGTACTAAAGGAACACAGCCCTTCACCAAAGCTGAACAATTATTATGACTTTCTGTTTCACTTCAGTTTGAGTTACTGGTATGTGTCCTTGCAAACAGTCTATCTACATTAATGTTACAGTCACTGCTAAAAAACGGTAATCATCTAATGGCAGAAATCCCAGATTCGGATCACTGACATCTCATCAGTTGCGGTTTTGCCCAAAGCAGAACTCTTCATGCCAGTAAACCCTCAGTATCCATCCTGTTGTGCTCCTCCCTCCATTTTTACTTTCTTTTCTTTCCATCTACAAACCCACAACTACTGTCTGTTTATATGAAGAAGCTGCCACTCCTACTACTACTACAAAAAGCGATTATATTGTTTTCTTCCAAAACAAACGTACAGAGTCAAAATTCAGATGATGATGTGATGATTCATGTTACATTCATATTATTGGACAGTGTCATAAAATGAAAACATTATTTTCACATTTGTCAAAAAATGTGGTTAAATTTACTCAATTAAACCATCTCTGGTTAAGGTTTAGGTAAAGGTTTTGCATATTTGCATCTTCACTCATCATCATTGACGCTGAATACCATGAATTACAGCTTTGTTTACGGAAAACCTGTCACGCTCACTCCTTCTTCTCTCTCCACCACCATCACCATGTCCCTGCACAGTCTTCATTACCATCTAAAATATGTGCTTTGAAAGTAAATATCTATGATGGGTTCCAAAAAGGGCTTCCTTCCTTGCCTGGAATTTTCTTTTTAGCCACACCACTTGCGTTGCTCTAGGCATTGCAATGTTGGTCCACCAGTTTGGTCCAGACTGAAATATGTAAACCACTATGGATTGACAAGAAATGATGTACAGTAATGTATAGTTCCAAAAGGAAGAAACCTACTGACTTTGATAATCCCCTGACTTTTCCTCTAGCACATGAGGTTGACATTTGTGTTTTTTAGTGAAATGTCCCTACAACTATCACATGGATTGCCATGAAATGTGGTACAAACTTTCATGGTGCAGAGAGGATCAATCCTTGTGACGTTGGTGATCCTGGGAGAGTTAGCACCACTAGCAGATCAAAGCTTTCACATATCCAGTGAAATATCTCAACATCCACTGAATGGATTGGCATAAAAAGTTGGTACAGGCATCCACGGTGCCCAGATGATGAATCTGGGTGATGCCCTGACTTTTCATCTTTGCCATAAATTATGTCTCAGTAATTTATTTCCCCCTGAATTGTAATGGTGATCCCTTAACATTTAACACTAGCATCAATTTCAAATTTGTCTTTGGTTTATGACCAAATACCTGCAAACATAATGACATACTAATTAGCTTCAGCTATACTTTATGAATAGTGCTAATAAGCAATGCTTTTACGCTAAACTAAGGTGATGAACATAAAACATTAAACATTATACCTGCTAAACATCAGCCTGTAAGCCAATCACAGATGAGGTAACCGGTTACTTCAGTGCATGCAAACACATATATTGTGAGCATGTTAGCATGCCAATATTAACATTTAGCTGAATTCAAGGTTACTATTTAAAGTTTTTAAGAAGCATGTCATTTTCCCCAATAATGTCTTAGTGTTGGGATGTTTTCAAGCAGTATTTAAACTGCTTACAAGACAGAATGCAACCATGCAGACCACATGCTAATACAGCTTGATTTATGAATTTCAGTTAAGCAGTAAAGTTGATTTATTCTCATTAAATTAAATCTAATGGAAATTTAAGAGGCAGCAAGTTTAGTGATCAACAGCTCTTAAAACCCTGAAACCACCCCTCAGTGTTTGTTACCGGCTGCAGCCCCCACTCTCAGCCAGTGACAGCCGTTTCCCCTCCCTGTGTGTCTCTAAGCCATTATCTCCCAGCGTGTTTGAAGAGACCAGACCGGTGCTCTTCCCAAAGCCCCAGATGAAAGGTTTTGGCCTGGGGCCCTAAATGCCAGCAGCCCTTGTGAACTGCTGAGTGACTGTGGTGCTGCAGGGGTGTAATTTCTGCAAGGCAGCAACATTCAAGCCCAGAGAGGCGAATGGAGCTTGGACCTGGAGCCCAGAGGGACGACATGAAAGAGGAAGAGATGACTGTGTGTGTTTATGTTTGTGTGGTTTGACTGAAGAGCCGAGCAGTTGATCGTGTCAGTATGTGCTGTCATTAGCGGAGGCTCCTCATAGAAAGGATGGTTAGTCACAAAAAGTGTGTGTGTGAGTGTGACTGAAGAGATTAGAGAGGAAGGCTTCAATAAAAGACCAACATGAGAGTGAACTGCAGGGCTCAGGATGACAGTTTCCAAGCTTGATTAAAAGATAGAGGGTAAAATAAGCTGTAATAACAAATAAACACTACAATTTCCCATATTTTTGTTGCTCACTGATGTAAGTTTAGCACCGACTAAACATACAAAATGCCAAATAAGGGGTATAGTTAAGATCATCACTATGTAAAAGCCCATCATCACCTGATAAATCAACAGTTTCAAACATTTATTTGAGCAGAAATGACATAGGATTTCCCCTCTTTTAGATGGTGGGCCTTGAGATGTTGTCTGTGTTGGTACATACCTGATCTAAAATAGCAGTTGTTTTCCAGGACTGGATCCTTCCTGTTCAAACCCGCTGCGGTGCTTCCAGTTTCCTGCCTTCTTTTGGCATGACACCATCAGCCCGTCCCTGGCCAGCTGTCATACCAGGGAAGCAAACTCAGAGAAGCCCGGAACAGAGATGATGGAGATGCAATCTACATGGATCATATTAGTCAGTATTTACTTTACCAGTTTAATGTTTATTGACCCCGGTAATGGCTTGGTTTGGATAACATTTACTAACACGTAGGTAATATAGACAAGTCTGGTAATGTTTTATAAGAGAACCAGTCAAAAAATCTATACGTTAGGGGCATTTCCACATTCCTTGGGTATCATTTCCTTTTCATAAGTCTTTCAAACTTTCAGACTTTTAAAGAAGTTTTTATTGTCCATAATATTACATATTTTTTCCCCATAGTACAGAATCCTTACATAGATCTCTGATACAGGCACAAAATGTTTTTTTTAAACATTTTTATTCAGGGGTGTGTAGTAAAAAAGAAAGCACCATTTCAAAATGCTTAGCGTGTTTAATTTTAGCATGTTTTTTGCTCAATATTTAAATTAAAAGCTGATTAAATTCCAGAAAACCTTTAGTTTTTGTCAGCAACAAATATATAGTATATATGAATGACTTCAATAATGATCTGACGGTTTTATTTTATTTAATTTAAAAAAATAAGACAACTGAACAACTCCATTCACTGAAATATACCATCAAATGTGGTTGAAAGCAAAAAACAAGTTGATCCTTGTATTGATTTTTTTCATTCTTTTTGGTCAAGTTGCTGTTTCCATGGTTCAAAGACTCATTTTTAGAGGTGGAAGAAGTACTAAGATCTTAGTAAAAGTATCACAGTAAAACAATATTCAAATTTAGAATCTTACTTGAGTAAAAGTATAAAATATACTTAAAGTAGCAAAAGTTCTCATTACGCAGAAAAGTGGCATTTCTAAATAACATCAGTGGATCATAGTGAGGCATTAAAGTATCAGGTGTCACTAATTTCAACTACTTTATATGCCTGCCTGGTAGCTTATTCTATGTATGTTGATTTATATTTTGTATTAATCCGACTATGCAAAGTAACTGGTACTGGGATTCTTTTCCAAGTATTTCCTAATTATAACAAAATGTGGCTGCATTCAGTCCAGAATTTATAAAAACAATAATGCCAAATTGGTGATGGTGTATAATTGGCACCATGGGAATCCAAATAGAGTTGCAAATTAAAGGAGGAGTATGTACATTCCTCCACTGAAAACTGGACTAGGAAGGATTGCCCTCTTTGAGCTGTGCAGAGAAAGGACAATAGGGGGAAGACAAGATGGAGATTTGTACGGGACACAGAGGAGAAAGCTGTCATTAGGTTTTCAACACTTTAACTGCCAGAAACTCCACATGAAAAAACAGCTGGTCTGTTGGAGAGGGCTGGTGGTAACTATGAGAACATCTGACAACTGTTGTGTTGGATGATAATTAGCTGGTATTTACTAATTCAGCACAAAGGGTGATGTAATCTGGTGGTACGACAGCCTTTTTTTACTCAAATAGTACTGCTCTGCTGAAGCACTTCACAAACACTAACCCACCAGAATCACAAAGAGGTTTCTCCAATGTCACAGTATGAATGCATTTTCTCAGGATTGTGTGGTTCAAACCTTGCAGAGGGATTTCACCACTTTAGTGTGACCTTCACACAGTGTAATGAGATGTGGCCTCCTCGGCTGAAGATACCTTTGGAAGATTGTATAGTGGTATAAAAAGAGATTAGGCCCCTGGGGTGTTTAAATGCTAAACAGGCAAAACGACCCTCTGCGCTTTTGGTCTTTTGATCTTCCACCTATTTAAATGGAAAACAGCTCCAATTATTTCAGCAATGAGTAATAACCTAAATATTCCATCCAGTGATAGACAGAAGTAAAAACTATTGCTGTGCTATTCAAACCATTTAGAGTCGATGAAAATGTCTGTTTTTTAAATTATTTATTCTTCATTTTAAGATACAAAGGCCAAACATAAAGGAATCCTCTTAGAAACACAATACTGGAATAAAAAAACCAACAACTTCAAATCTAGTTTAAATTCTATGGAGGTCAACATCAGTATAGCAAGAAATTAACTCATAATACCATAAAAACACATCAATGTCATCAATTGTTTTGATCAACCATAGAAAACCTGAACAGCGGGGGAACAATATATCTATATCACTTTGAATGTTGATGAACAGCTAGAGAAAAAAAAAAAAAAAAAAAAATCAAACTATGTCACCAATAAATTCAAATTGGTTGAATTTACACTGAGTAACACGAGTCAATAAAATGCATGCAGACGTGGATAACAAGCGTGACTGTTTTATGGAATCGTCTGCTACAATAATAAATATTGTACAGTGTTTGACACCAACATCCATCCTCAACCTCTCAATGGCACTGCTGTCCCCTCATGCATTTTTAAAGGATCTTGAATTAATATTCATTGTTATCAAAACTAACACAGTATAATATTGCACAAGCCCATAATTCATAATTCATGGGGTGGAAAGGTTTAGAATACTGTGACGGGGGCGGCAGAAGCTGATGATATGGTGGGTCGTGTCACATGTGCACCGTAAAAATCTGTTTTAATTTGGTTCCTCTCTTACAGTCTTATCAGCGAGGCCTCAGCTTTGAATTGGAGGCATAATGTTGGACCCAAAATAGATAGTCTGCAGCAAACATTAACATCTACTAATATCTCAGATCTCAGTACAAAAGTACTTCATGTCACATTTTAACACTAAATAATCAAAAGGGACCCCAGACTTTCAAAGATTAGTTTAATCCAACAAAGGAACTGAACTGCGGGTATATTGTCTTTTTCTTTTTTTACTTCTGCATGTAGTTATGAATATTTTTACCATTTGTTCTTCAACACACCATACTGGGTTTTTATTCTTGTTTTTTTTTTTTGTATGTTTTTTTGATTTTTCAAATATCAAAACACAAACATCAAAGTACAAAAAGAGAAACTGTGTGAACACAACTAGAAGCACAGCTGAGTGAGTGAGTGAATTAGTAGTTTCAGTAGCATTTCCTGTACATTAGGACCTGAGATGATAACATCCATCACAAATTTCTAACTTGCAGCCTCTACACTACTGTTAATCTTTGTTTATGCTAACCAATTAGTAATAAATGCAATTCTTGAATAATTAATGATTTATTAATGATTATTATTATTATTATGAATTAATGATATTGTCATCGCAGCAAAACACTATTGTGATGTTTAATACACTGATTTCTGTCTATCGTTCCAAGAGTCCTGTCTAGAATAAAAAGGTGTCCAGATCTGAAGTGGTTCTGAGAATCACAGTGAGAGAAATCTCTACACGTGCTTCTTTCCCGAATCATTCTACTTCAACCTGTTAAAGACGAGACTATAAAATGACCATAATTGACCATAATAAACCAAACTTGATAAACATCTGCTGTAGCAGCCAATAACATAGGAATACTGGAATAACATATGTAACAGTCACATGAAAAAAAAGTACAAAAAAATTGTAAGCAAGCAACTAAAAAATTACTGCCAAATCATTTTCTGAGTGAATAATGTAAGACTTCAAAAGTTCTTCAAGAGTTCTTGAGGAAGATGTCTTTTTTTGGCTAAACATGTCACAATACGTGTAATTCTCAGTCGACGGCTATTATTAATTTTCTCAGGAGCATTAAAGTATGTCTTCTCTTTCACTGAACAATGATCTCAAACTCTCCTTTGTTTATAAAAGCAGTGATGGTGTCTCCTCTGCCTTTGAGATCACATCTGTTTGGCTGCTGAAGTGATGGACTGTGGTGGTACACGGAGTGATTATGTCCCACAAAGACAGAGATTTAACATGTTTGAGTATTATTTCGTTCTGACAAAGATTTAAGGTCTTACGGTTTAAATCTTGTTGATATATGTTTTCAGTTTATTTTCAACAGAGAATCCTGCACAATTATTTTTCTGCCTTCTTCATGGATGGAGCTTGGTAAAAGTTTGAATGTATTTTTTCGCGAACATGTTAGAATTTGTGTAAATAGTGGGATGATTGCTCTTCTGTTATTGGCTGCTACACGTAAATGTTTTAAAAGAGTCAATACTATGTTTTCACCTTGGATGTTAACCCTCTAAAGCAGTTCAAACAAATGCCCTGTGGGAAACATGAGCTGAGGATTTTACTGCCCAAACCACTGCAGAGAAATACTAGGAATACTGAGGAACACACCGTGGGAAACCTTGAGATTTTCAGTCTCTTATTTTTGCTCAACAAAGACAAAAATATGGCAAAGTTGCTTGTAAATTGGTTTTAAACTACTTAGTTAGTTGCTAGTTTTTACAACTAAACAGTAACCAGCATGTTTCTAACCAGATTTAGAGCCAATTTATTGATCAGATTTGCAGATTCACTTTTTGGTAAAGAAAAATAATCCCCCTTAATTGTCAGTGTATCCTCTGAAGATACTATATATTCCGTGTGTCTCGGGGGTAGGTGAAGTGTTCGGTAATATGAAGTGTGCAAGAGCTTATGTACATCACCAGCCGTGGGTCTTGAGGGTTCAATGTTCCAGGTAGGACTGATCTAGGATCAGAGTCTAGGCAGCACCAACTGATACAGCAGCAGTCCCATTACCCCTGACCTCTGATACAGGAATGAGGAAGTCACCACCTGATTTTTCCAGTAGGTGGGATAAAATCTGACCCCAGCTCTGCTCAGGAACAAAGAAGATATACAGTTGTTTCTTGAAATGAACACAGATTTGGTTCAGGTGGAAAAGACAAGTTATCTATTAAGGAAATGAACAAAACGGAGCTAAACTCAAATCAGGGTCCTGGTAACAGTAGGTTAAGGGTAACATCTCCTGGTTGGAGGTGGTGGTGCTCCTCTCTGGTGTTTGCTGCCCCCTAGGGCTGAGAGCAAGGCAGTGCAGGTGTGGCTCAGGAGGAGAGAAGGGAGGGAGGGAAGGGGGAGGAGGTAGAGAAAGGAGGCGAAGGAGGGGAGGTTGGGCAGGTCCAGGGCGGCACTACTCGTCACAGCCCAGAAGCTCCATTCGCAGGGTGATGCGCTCGTGCCACTCCCACGGCAGGATGCGGACATATCGGCCGTAGAACGGGGGCTCAAAGATGTTCTTTTTGTGAACGTTGTTGTCGCTGTTGCCTGGGAAGATCTGGACAGAGAACGGCACCCAATCAAAATAACCATTTTGTAATGACATTTTTAAAAAACATTTTAATTGTGAAGGTTTCATCGATGTAGTTTGGTGCACACAGAGTGCATACAGAATACTAATTAAATCCAGTGTCAACATAATTGGTTCCAGGTGTGTAGATGAGTAATCAGACACAAGTGTAAGTTTTTGTACTTGGTCACACAAACAACACTCTCAAAAGGCCTGTATTCTTTACTTTTTCCAGAAAATCCCAAATGGTGATTATTATTATTATTTAAAGTACAATTATATTTATTTTTTTCCCCCTATCAGCTGAAGTTTTATTATCTGAATAATGTATTTTACATTTACAAATGTAATGTATTTTAAATTTACAAATGTATTTTACATTTTTACAGTAACCAGGTTTTTCCCATTATTTAACTTATTATTTGCAAACGTGTTTCTGGCCACAGCTGGACTGACCTTGTCTGTCTTTGTAGTCTCGTCCTTCACGATGGTCCAGGACTGTCCATCATCACTGTGAGCCACTTTGAAGGCTGTGATAAACTGGATGGAGCCAAAGTCTTTGGCCCCCTGTGTGATGATTCCTGTGATCTTCTTGGGCGACTGCAGGTCCACCTGAGGACACAGAAACAGCTTATTTTATAAACGCAGCAATAGGCAAACTAAGAAACAATGTGCAGCTCTGTCCTGTCCTCCTCTCCTACCTGCAACCACTCAGATTGGTTGTTGTTGGCGGCAGTCCAGGCGTTGGTCTTGCCCTGTTTGTCCAGCCGGGCGTAGTGAGGGTGCCAGGCGAAGGCTTCGATGCCCCAGGTGCGGAAGGTGCTGGAGGCCGTGATCTGCCGGTTAGACACCAACCGGGACTTCATGCCCATCGGCTCTGAACAACCTGAAGTGTTTGAATACACTGTGGAAGTGAGACCAGGCAAAGAGACGAAGGAAGAGACAGAAAAAAAGAGGAACGGAAAGAGAGAGAAAGAAAGTATGATAGACAGAGGACGGACAGGAAGCAGCCCAGGCCAGCCAGTGATGTACAGCGGCAAACAGATGATGAGTGATGTGGAGGACAATAGCAGCAGATGTAGTGTACAGAGATATAGAATACAGGTGAACTTGAAGCCATAAATGAGCAGCTTTAGGCTCATCTGAGCTCACATGGTGGAGTTTTCAACTATTCGTTTCTACCATCGGTGGCTCAAGTTGATCACAACCACATAATTTATACAGTTATAAGTTATACAGTGATCCTCTAGATGTTTGCAGTTTCTCATACTTTCTGTATCATTTCACATGTACCAAATGGGAAAATTGCCAATCCTGAAGTAAAAACAAACTTATAGAGCTCATTGTACAAGCTATCAAAGCTGTAACAGACTTTTTATGAGGGTTGGTTAGTGAAGCAGCTGGGCATGCAGGTCAGATGAACAGAGGGTCGAAGATGCATGAAAGATTTTCAAATTTCAGTGCATTGTTGCTGTCATGTAGCTGCATCCCTTCTCATTTTCAACATACTTTTACCAGAATCAGACCAGTCATTCAGTGCAGTGAAAGTATTTTGAATTAAAGCAAATATACTTTAAGCAAGGAAAACGCATTGCATTGTTTAAAAAAGGACCAAAACTCATGCACGATGGCTGTGACCTCATGGTAGAATGAGGTGATCCCAAAACAAAACAAAATTTTGGGATCACCTCATTCTGCCATGAGGTCACAGCCATCGTGCATGAGTTTTGGTCCTTTTGGTCCTCTGCCATGCACAAACTGGGAAGCACAACTGAAGAGAACAGACACTGATCTGATAAATGAGGCAATCATGAAGAGAGAGGAATATTCAACACTGTAATGAGGACAGCAAGATCCAAAGAACCACACTGACTTTACATTAAAGGAACAGCAAGATGAGCGGAAATTGGTTGTGATACAGAAGACTTAAAAGAAGTATTACATTTGCCTGCTGGCGTGACCATTTTTAGATGATGAATATGACCAACCAATCTCTGCAGTAAAAAAATCTCTGAATCATTAGCATTAGCTAATGTTCAGTATGCTTGCACAGTATTACTATAGTAAAATGTGATCATATGTTTTTGATATATACACATCTGTGTTCAAAGCTGCAGTCTTCTAAGTAACATCCTTTAAAATATGATCAATCACTTAGTACAGGGCTGAAAATAATTAGTGAGGAAACAAGCTAAATGCCTGTTTAAAAAAAACCCAATTACTTCCACATGGAGTTTGAATGATTTAAGATGTGAAAAGCTTGTTTCAGAAACTAACAAACATCAGTATGCTGAACACCAACAGTGTGTGGATGTAAGTGCAGCAAGTGCATGTTTTCTGTGTGAGCTGACCGTTGAGCTCACAGCCCACCAGCTCCATGCGCAGGGTGCAGGCCTTGCGACACACCACAGGAACAATGCGGATGTACTGGGCAATGATTGGGGGGTCAAACAGGTTGGTCTTGGTGCTGTCGTTGTCCACATTTCCAACAAATACCTACAAAGAAAGGATGAGTTAGCAAACTGTGTCAAGTGTGCTGTGAATTTGTTATTTTTCTAATGAGTGACATTGATTAATTCTTCTTTATTGGCAGTTGTTAAGTAGATTCATGTATTCTTAAGAAATAGCAATAAAACTAAAAAATAATGTGAAGCATCCCCTGAAAAAAATCATCTTTGTTGCTTGTTCAAGCAAACTTAAACTCCATTTGTAGAACATAAAAATTATGAAACATAAATGATAAAAACTCACTTGTTCCTTTTAAAGTTTAAAAATAACACTAACATAACTTATTTCTATTCCTCATTACTTATGGTATTATTGGCAGAAGTGTCACAGTAAAGTTACAGTAAAATGTTTTTTGTGTTGTGTACTGATGATTTGTCACTGCTCCCCCTAGTGGTTCTTTTCTATCTTCTAGAAACTGTGACATCATGTGTATTGAGTTTGATGTGCAGTGTCTTGACTTGCACATCTTTCAATATGGCCAAAAGAAAAATACATTAAAAAACAGACATGAGGACTATAGTGCACGCTTTTTTGCAGAGTTGTGTCTCCTTACATGGTCCTTTCTCTCCCCTTCTGTTCTGTACAAGGTGTAGGTCTTGCCGTCCAAACTGGAGGCCACCTTGAAGGCCTTGATGAATTCAGCTGTTCCCATGCGACTGGCACCCTGCGTCACAATACCTGTAAAGCGCATCTTTCTTTGCAAGTTGATCTGAAATTGTAGAAAGAGAACTGACATTAATTATTATTATTATTATTAATTATAATTAATTATGAAATATAGGTATATGATATTAATATAATTAAGTATTTGCAAAAAAGGTATTTCTAGCCTGCCATGTGTCTAACATACAATCAATCTATGCACTATATAACAATCTACATGTCTTATAATATTGTTGTGCCTGATCTCACCTCTATCCATGGGTTCTTGTCATGTGCAGCGGCGCTCCAGGCGTTAACCAGTCCCTTGTTGTGAAGGCGGGAGAGCTCGGGTCCCCAGCGCTGCAAGCCCAGCATGCTGTAACGGACTGATGAGACTGAGATCTGAGACTCAGCGATGCCCCCTCCCTCCATGCCAAGCAGAGAAATACAGCCTGTAGGGTAGAGGTGGGGGGACAGATCCAGATTTCAGCATAAGATTTCCCACTGTGGCCCTAATGCCAATTTGGCACACAATATCCTTTCAGAAACCTGATTAAAGGCTTACGTATATATATTAATATAATATTTTTTCCAATGCTTAAAATTTAGTGCTCAATGAGAAGGACTGATACTTATAACAAATAGAAATGTCAGAGTATATGTTCACATAGTCAGAGAGGAGAAGATCTAATACATGTTCAGCCATACCTGTGCTAAACCTTCAGTGAGCTGTGTAAATCGTTATGTAATTAAGGATGCAGAGCTTTGAATCAGCTTAATTGAATAAAGTATTGATTCCTCATTTGGCAGGCTCTCTATACGCTGCCTATTGATCATCCCAAAATGCAGCAGCTTGGCTGCCTTCCCAATTTCACTTCCTTGAATTAATATATTACTATAACACTGGCAATAGCTCACCATTACATATGGATTGAGTGTGCCTGTATGTGTGCGATTTGCATACTTCAAACACAACTTATACCTAGTAAAATGTGTTATAGTGATCAGAGTGACAGTATTTGGGACATGACCTCATTTTATCCATCCATCTAGGAGTGTTTACTGGTCACACTTACGCAGTTGGCAATGTTTACCCACATAAGGGGACGGGCAGTGGCACTTGAAATCTCCGTCCAGGTCCCTGCAGGTGCCACCATTTTCACATGGCTGGCCGGCACAGTCATTCACATCTACAGAGAGATAAATCACAGTCACTCACTGTAGTCAAACATAAACAGCCTACTGGTCAACTGTTATCTGCCAGTCTGAAAGCAGATTAAAGTTAGTTAAAAGTGTGAGTGAAGATCACATTTCATGCTTAAGAGATAGGGTTTGATATACTGCTTCACACTGAGGTTAGTTGAAGCCATGCCAACAGGACTGGAGTTGTAGCATAGAGACAGCTAGAGAGAGGAGCTTATTGATTATCATTAGACAGTAAATGTAGCCTAGATCAAGATGTCTGGTATAAAAGAACCAGCTGCAACAGGAAGTCATGGGGTCAGGGTGTTGAGTATACAATGAAAAGGATTAAATGTGTTTAGCTGAGTGAGTGCCCCAAACTTCACGATACATGCAGCTTTCAATGAAGTTGAGTATCTTAAGGGCCATTTCAAGGCAATTTGTTTTTGATTTCCTTGTAATTCTTCGTACTGCCTCTTGATGTCGCCCTAAACTATCTGTCCCAGCTCAAAGTCTGTACTAGATGAGTCAGGGAGAGGAACAAATCAGCAGAATAAAACTCAAACTCCTTTTTATCTCTTGCCCACAAGAACTGTCAGTGTGACTAAACCGGCTTTGAACACGCTCTATATTGAAAACATCTGCAAACGAACAACACACACATTTAGCTGGTTACATAGACTGAACACCAACAGGGTGATTTCATTGACTCTGAAGCTTGAATCTTTATTTATGGTTGTTATTATGGACGAAAATGCACGCAAACCCATGGACACTGATGTTATGTTTCTATATACAAAAACACACATGACAGCATCTCCCTACCCACATGCGCTTTCCATAAATAGCTCCATGTCAAAACATTCATTTTCACACAGTCACACAAGGAATACAGTAATTTTGAAATGTGCATCTACAAACTCTGGATAGCGAGGTAGACAGCCATGACACTTCTGGTACTGGGAGTAGCTCACACTAAATCACATAAAAATAGACTATTTCTAGAAGCAGCTGATTTTAAACATCAAGCACTCTACAATTTGTAAATAAGCTGTTTGAACAATTTATTATCTTGGAACAAGTCAATAGGTGACTGCTAACTCTGTAAGTATTTTACATTAGGATACTAAGTGTTAACAGTCAAATAAAATGCAGTTACAAACTATAACAAAAGCAGAATGTGTAGAATCCATTTGGTTAGGTCAGTTATGGATTACTGTTACTCTTGTAAACATAATTTAAAATCAGACAGCTATTTCATGAAGATGGATGAAAAGATTTATCTGCTGCATGGGGGACACATTTAAGAACACAACTAGTTTTTAGTATTTGAGCAGGTTTCTAAAGCATTTATAACTTCTTATAACTTCAGCCCTTAAGAGTCTGACTAGACAAAATGTTGACACACTTCATGATGTCAGGTACCAACAACCAACGTGTTCCTCACCTCTCTGCCTCTACAACCCACAGACCTACATCTGTAATTGATGACAATCTGAGGGAAACTGGTGCGCCATGTGTAAGCTGGTGGCTCTCTCTCCAGTAAGAGGATTGGACACCAGAAGAATCATACAGCCTGGTCAGCTCCTGAGTCTAATCCATTTAGGGAGGAGCCTGAGGAACACACAGCATCACTGACACAGGTAGCGGTGGATGCACTATGACTGCAAAGGCCTGTAGGTTTGCTTATTAATGGGGCTATGCATGCTTGAAATGTACACACTCATGGTGTTTTGATTAAACCATAACATGACTTAGAGATTATTCAGTGTAAAAGCACACTATACATATAAACTGGATAGATTTTGGGGTGCAGAGCATGTGCTAAACAGATGACCACTCCGCGGCTTGTATCCAACAAACTCTATAGCTTATAACAGAAACAGCACGATACCACAATATTTAGAACATCAATATCCGTCCCAGAATGAAGCAAAAACCAATACGTATCTCATGCAGCTTGTTTGAAATCTGACCCCAATCGATGCAAAGCCAAGGTCAGCTGGCAGTGCATGTGGTGATCAGAACAGCCATCTACGTCCAGGATCTGTGCTGCAACCAGTAAGATTTGGGCCTATAAAAAGGTACAGCCAAGGTTTGCACCTCTTTTGTGTGGCTGCACAAGATGAGTGGATGGTGTTGTACAATTAGTAAAATTCTCACATTATAAGGCCTCAACCAGCAAGGTACTCAAACCAAGTTTTAAAAGTAAACCACCTGTGATGTTTATGGTTTGACAACACATCCCTTCAAAGCCAGAAAGCATTAACTTTGTGAGCAGTTAAAGAAAGGTTAGTTAAGAATCCTTTGTCCCCACAAATGTATTGTATTAAAATGCAAAATGTATGGTAAACTTGTTATGAACATCAACACTTAGAAAAGAAATGTTAAGTCTTTTCTTTCGACCAATGGCAACATCAAATAGGGAAATCACATATTTTTAAGCACCACTCTCGCCGTTGCCATGGTACAGCGACCAAGGGGGGTGCTCTAAAGGCATTTTGGTCACCAGATAAAACCAGTGGCAATATTAAATTTAAAAAAGGCTAAAAGGTTTCCAGATGTGTAATTTGCTGTGTACTGTGTGGACTGGCTGCCGTATACCAAGTAGCACAAGCAGCACCCAAAATAGCTCTGAATCTCTGCCAAGGTGCCACTCTCCACTGGAGGGATGCAGAGCTCTGAAATGAAATTTATGATGTCATAAAGTAAATTACAGAGCATTTTATTTAAATCTGTATTTCTAAGCACTCACTCTGAATGATGGTGACATCAGATCCTGTGCGCTGGTAAATGATATCTGTGGCTCTTAAAACTGCGCTGTCTGCAGCATTTTCATATCTAGTGTTATTATTTATTATTATTGTTGTTGTAAGATCATCTGACCTTAACTCAGAATTTATATTTGCTACAGTACATTCAGATACCCTACATGTATGCATGTATGCTAGATTGTATATATTCATTAATTTCACTTTTTCCTATTTAACAAATATACAGAGGGAGCTTTAAGAACATCGTGTCATCAAACTGACAAAGCCATGACTTTATGTCCTTGTGGCTAAAATTAATTAAAGTGAGCTCTAAATGATGGATTTCCACCGATGGAAGTAGAGTTATTCAACACCACATTATGGCCTGGTTGTTATAGTCTCTAAAAGGATCTCAAACAAGGCGCTGAACCCCCAACTGCTTAGTGGTCAACAGAAGAGGAGTTACAGATGTGAATTAACTAAATTCAGGATAAATGGGTTTACTGTAAATCTTTGCTTTTTACAGTAAGATTGTTCAAACCAACTAAACATGGCTCAATTATTAACTTGACATATTTAATTTCCATTTCAACAGTTAAAAAGAAGAGATCTGTCAGCTCAGATATATTGGTTTCATATTTATGAGAGCTCTCTCTGTGCTTAATTGTTATTACAACCCATATAAGTCTGTTGTTGTTTTCACAATGTTTACCTGTGAAGGTTCAGCCTAACCAGTCAAAACACCAAGCAGCTGCTTCTGTTGCTTAAGATCATGTTGTGGTTTCAGATAAGCCGCTTGGGGGATTTAATACAATCCTAACTTGTTTAATGCAGACAATAGTTGAGCAGAAAATGCATCCCAGGTTTAGTATGATCCATGACAGCACTATCTCACACACACACACACACACACACACACACACACACACCTCCACAGGGGACATAGAGCCCAGTCTGCCCACACTACCACATCCTGGGAGGAGCTGAAAACTCTCCCGAAACAACTAAAAGAGTAGCACACACATCCAAACCCTCTTTAGGAACTTCCAAGAAGCACATAAACTGCGTTGATCTGTTATGAAAATCTGGGATTTAGAAACAGTAAGCAAGAAAAAGACTCCTCCTTTCCTCACTGTTTCCATCCATCTGCCTTGGCCCAAAGTAGACAGCTATTGACATCTCTCTCTTTCTCTCTCTCTCTGCATCTCCATACTTCAGACAGACAGACACACATGCAAGCTTTTTGGCCAATTTGACAGGACAGTCAAAAGTGCTGTAGTCAGACCTGAGTAGTGAGTGTGACATTGTCAGGAGGGCAGACTTAATTCACTGTTCCGCCTCCATGTTCACTTTTCCGCCCGGCAACAGTAGCAGCACTGACGTTGCTAGCGCTCAGCGTGGACCGCCACTTTCTGTTGGCTAGACTGGCACGAGGGATGAACCATGTGTGTATGTGTATGCTAAACAGTCTGTATATGAGATCATGAGCTGTGTGTGGTTGTTCATGTGGGATGTGCAGCGCACACGTGATTAAGCTTTTTCCAGTAGAGATTTTCTTGCTCCCTTAATCTGTTTCTTTTTTAAGGAGACATTTATTCAGCAATGAAATATACTGCAACTACAAAATAACCAACAAATTTGTCCTTTGTTTTTCACTTCTTTCCCATGACTGAAAGTAGGCCTTGAAGGAGAGGATGATGATTTTTTCTACCTTCTGTTCTATTTCCAATGAATCAACCTTTCACTTCACTTTACTGTTGCATTTTTCTATTTATAGTTGTGTACATGCAATGGTTTGTGTGAGAATGACATACAGTATTCTACAGCTGGCTCCAGTTTGCCAACACCTACTTGTTAGGATCTGTCTGGCTGATCAAAAACCAGTTCTACCTCCAGTCACAGGCTCCTGTACATACATCTTTACAGTTTACCAGTGAGAAGACTGTGGTGACATTTCTGAACTTTTTAATAAATTTCTACCCCAAATTGTCTTCCTCAGTATGCATATTCATGTGTGAAGTGAGTGTGAAGATGCTAGTTATGTTTAAATAAATGTTTAACTACACTACGCCTCCCCAGGTTCACCACGGTCACTGGTTTTCTATAGCCCGTCTCCCTCTCTGTTTCACACAAACCATAGGAGCTGGCTGCCATGAACCTCACCCCCTACACACACACACTCATTAGAGAGCAGTTAAACTGTCACAACACAGTCATCAGTAGCTGTGAATGGGGGGGGGGGCACCTCCCTAACCCAGCAGTCCTCAGAGGGGTTTTCATAAACCAACACAGTCAAATAAATCATCCTCATGATTATCCTTGAGGCATTATCTAATTAGTGTAAAAGCCTGAGGGCTTTTATTCAGCTAAGCTAAAAGTACCTGCCAAAGGACATATATGGATTTTGATGAGCTGTGATTTGTGGTTGTCAGGGATAAAAGAAAACACTAACAGATAACTTGTCAATATAACTAGTCAAATGGGAATGTTTGGAGCATAAATATGGGCTGGGGAATCCTAGATTAAAATAGATGTTAACTTCTAGATGTTAACAACAAACACGAGGGAGATGAACGACGCATCTTTTAGTATGAAAGGACATCTTCCTGTCAGAATAGGTGAACTGATAAAAAGGCGGCGTATCTAATGCTGACATGATCTCACTGCCGGTTTTCCTGCTGGCCTTGACTCAGAAACAAGGAGAGATAGTGCTGAACTCAGCGGTTCCCTGTCTGTGAGTGTGTGTGTATGTATGTGCATGCTGTGTGTGTGTGTGTTATTATTTCTCAGCCTCCACATGCAACCAAGAGAACAGAGAGCACCTGGATCCAAGAAGGGGAAGAGACCACAGCGCAAAACACAAATACACAATCACACAGCTTTATCTCCTCGAGGCCCATTTCCCCTGTTACCTTTTCGTGAACTTAAATCTGCCCCTTCGACACCTAGGATAAAAAAGGCATACATGATCAAACACAAAATACAAATAGGCTTTTCCTAAAAGTCCCACTTGATTCCTGCTAAATTACTTCTTTGTGAACACTTGGCCACTGTTATTCTGCCGCCTTCTTGAGCAAACAGTAGCCATCTGTCTCTGTGTGCTGGGCTGGAGTTGGAGGAGCGCAGCACATGTTCCCACCGTTGCCTCTCTCTCTTAGGCTGACCCTGATTGAACCAACCTGGTCTGAGTGACGTGTGAATGAAGCTCCCATAAGGATGACAGCTGCCTGTCTGGTGGCCAACACACACAGCAGCTGTCTCCATGTTAGTGTGTCAGGTTAGACGGATAAACAGCCATCATTAGTCTTGCCAATTTGTTGTATGTACATTATATTTACAGTAGGCAAAACAAGAATAGTAGCATATTAGCATCAGTGAAGCTTTTCATTTAGTGTGCTGCTGCAGCTGGAAATAGTGAGCATGTACTATAGCAATTAGATACACAAATGGCGGACTAAGGATTGGGATTAATAATTTTGTTTTCAATACCTCAACAAACAACTGTGTGTACACTTTCATTAAAAATTAAATGACTCCAAGTGATGTCTTGTTGGCACCTAAGACATCCCTACGATCTTAACATTTTGCAATGCTGTTGTGGGATTCTTTCATGTTTTTATTACACTACAGTAGTGCCTTATGACCTGGAAAATGGCCTACCAAAATGTAAATACACTGAAAACTTTTAATTAGACTTACTGTTCTGGCAGTGGACTCCGTCGAAACCCGGCTGGCACTTGCAAACGTACTCGCTGAAGACGTCACCTCGGCGGGATTGGCCTGTCACCTCGCAGATGGCATCATTCTTGCATGGATTTGGGTTGCAGGGCCCTTTTGGACAAGAAGAAAGAAACCGAAGAGGAAGGGGAAGAGAGCCAAGTTTAACAAAGGTTGATCAGTTGGGATGGGGTGAAGGATAGGGCTGACCCATGTAATTGTTGTATGTTTTATCAATCTGCTATCACTATTTAACAGCATAGTAAGCACCAGTAAGTAATTAATTTGTCTGTATTGTCATTGTCTATCCAGCAAATAGGGGTAAAATAAATCCAACTAATTTCGATCTCAGAAGCATTGCTTACCAGTCTCCGTCTCATTGCAAGTTTCTCCAGAGAAGCCATCAGGACAGATGCAGATGAACGGAGCTCCTGTCCCGGTCACACAGGTTCCACCATTACTGCACATGTTCACCTTGCAGTGATCACCTGGAGAGAGGGGGAGGGGGTAGTGACAAGTTGACTCCTACAGTACACAACAGAAAACATTTTTTTTAAATGAATACAAACGTATATTCCGCTAAGTTAAAATAAATTAATCTGATGAAAAACAATCCTTGTTTTCAATTCGCAAAACCTCATGAATCTTACAAATACATAAAGTACCTCATTTACATGACAGAATGATTCTGAATTATTGTGTCCACAACCTATTTTTCCAGCTTTCATTCAAATGTGTAACGTGGCAAATTCAATTGCTGAAATGAGCATACTATAAAACTGGTTGTGAATCCTGTGTCCAGATCCAGCTGTGTGTACCCTTCATTTCACATTCATAAATGCTTGACAGCTCAGCATTTCCTGTCGAGCATCTGATATTTCCAGGCCCATATTTCAGGACACTAAGAGGAAAATCAGATACTGTGGCAGCTGTGACTTGTGAGTAGTTTTGGCATTATGCATGTTTGTACTGTATTTAATCCATTTTTGTTCCTTGTGCAGTTTTTAGCATTGAAACCAGTTTTTATATTTCCAGTTCACATTTTTAAGCATGAAAGAGCAAAACATGTTCTGAGAGAGTAGAAAATTCATGTTTTCTCCCATATTACGTTTTCCACTACATTCCCTTGTTGTGCTGCTAGATAAAGAGTAAACAGCTCGCTGTCGGTTGGGTGTGATGGTCTGAACAGCTGAGTAAGCCATCACTACACTGTAAACACGACACAAACACTGGATGCTTCCACCAGTATCACAGATGCCTGGCCTGAACCTGACAATCTAGCAGCTCTCGGGGCACAAGGGAAATACATGTCAGCTTGCAGTGGGCTGGGGAAAAAAAGGAATCAAGAGGCGTGTAGTGGTTTTCAAAAGCATGACAACTGGACAAGCTATGATTTACAGTCAGAGACAGTTTTACTCCAAAAAGAGATTTCTGCCCTTTGTAAACTATGACAACATTGTTTACAAATTGGAAATTAAGTATGATACATGAGTAAGGAAGCCTAGTATAAAATGACAGAATTTTAGCATCTGGTGTATGTATATACACACACACACACACACACACACACACACACACACACACACACACACACACACACACACACACACACACACACACACACACACACACACACACACACACACACACACACACACACACCATATTGGGCAATGAACCAGTATTTTTCTCAATATAGACACACCACATAGCATTTTGGAAGTGAATGTTTCAATTATACCCTGTTTAGACACTTATAATATGGAGGAAGTAAATAATTGTGAGCCTTTTAACACCCACAAAGACAGAGAATGCTTTCCTAAGTTAACGCTTATCATTTGGATAATTGTTAAGGAAATTGAGGTTGGACCCCAAGTGTGAAATTGATGGTTTAAGTACCACAGTGTCTGCGATACAGGCTAAACAGAAGCTCTGGCCCTATTTTTTCAGAGTTTCAGCAGGGTACCTCTTCCTACCTCAAACGAAGCAGACTTTTTGGGACAGATAAATATTTTTTTAGACTTCTACAGCAAAGAAAAAATACATTTTAGACCTGCTGAGGGTATAATTCACAGAGGATGTGGCTGAAAACGGCATTTTGAAGACACCTCCAACTGTGCTTTCTTACCCCACACGTCACACACATTTTCTTGTTCTCAAAGCACTCAAAGATAAGAGCACTGTGAGTAGTTTATCCAGTGCGAAACTCTGGCCAACAGTTCATCAGCACTGTTGAAAATGTAACTAGTTGGTCTTCCGGATTAAAAAATAAAGCAGGCTATTAGAGATGAACACATTCCAGTTCTTTTTAAGCTCTGATGTATTCCATTTAATATCCATTAGCAATCGAGGAGATGTAGGGTAGACACGCGTCATATTCACTGAGAAAGAAGGGAGCATGAGAAAGACAGAGATCCTTTGCCAACATCCTGTTTGGCTGTTTATCCACTGAACTGCACTTCCCATGGCTGTCTAGTCTTATCAGTGCTGTATCCAATGTCATGGCCTTCAAGCGCTTTCACATCTCATATTTTGAAACAAGCTGGGCTGGCACAGCCAACACATCCTTATCCAAAGGTTGTTGCCTGTTTATCTTTGGGAAGGAACATAACCTCCCTTCCTACACTGGCAGACAGCTCCCCACAGGAAACCTCCTTAGTGCTGAGAAATAACAATGTTGGATAAATGACTTTCCAAAAACATAGAACAATCTGATCTAATTAGCTGACTAAAATCACAACTTTTAAGATACAAATAAAGGAGAGATTAGACAGACACCCCACTTCATCCAGCCGTCTCTGTAAATGTTGCTTGTGGTCTGCCATGACTGAAGGGTAATTTAGCCGGAAGCTTGCATGGGTTTATTGAGGAAATACAATTTGTGATGTATTAGTCAAGCTGGTCAGCCAAGAGACAGTGGTCAAACCACCAGATCCTCCTTGAAAATGCCCGAAGTGAGGCCACTGTCTGTAAAAACCATGTCTGTATGAAATTACATGGGAATGAAAAGAGTTTATTTTCCCCCCTATTCCAACTTTACGCAGTATATTTGAAATAAGATGGGATTTAAAAAGTTTTCACTTTGCACAAGGGTTATGGGACACACTCAAAACAAAAAATGACCTTGAATTTAACCAATTACAGAAAGTATGCAGTTGTTTGTTATTTGATTTCCACCCCACATCAACTGTAAGCTGCGCTTCTGATTCAGAGGAAACCAGAGATTTGTTCTTTCCCATTATCTCCATTAACGGCTGACACACAAATGCAGTTTCAGATAAGCATGGGTTTATATTACATAGGAAATCTTTGGCTGTAGCTTCAGTTTAGTTTATTGAGAAATCATTGCGGGAAAAACAAGCTTTGTAACATTCGAACTGACACACCACAGGTTAAAGACATGATTTAAGTGATTTCCTCACTAACCTCTACTGATATCTAACCTTGCACAGACTTTGGTTTATGTACTAAAGTTATGAGATGTTTGTGGTGCTCACCGCATTAAAAAAAAAAAAATCACATTTTCAGTGACATCTTTCTCCAGAATCAGTCACTCTGTTACTCAGTTTTCATTACTACTCTACTCACAACACTGACTGTCCCCATGAAAACTGTTGACAGAAACAGAAATGTTGCAGTAGAATTTCTCAAATGCCTCTTTTAAATGCTGTGAGCAGCACTCACTAAAATCCATTCACCTACTATTGTGTTTTGGAGACAACAGAATTTTCAGGTATGTATATTTAATAACCACTAATCAGTTATCCATCAGCTATCCTATTGTCTTGAGGTCTCACTGACTTCTATAATAACTGTTGTTGCTTAAGAAGTGATTCATAAATCCTTTTTTTTTTTTTTTTAAAAACCACAATAAAAAGTTCATGTTATCTTGACCTGTTGTCTGGACCTGTAAACATAGGTTGAACTCTCAAAACAATGTCAATTATTTTCATTATGTTTATAAACACACTGATATTCTCTCTAATAAATTGCGAAAACCACTAAAGACATTTATGAGTCATCCGAGCATACAGCCACAAACACTCATCTATTTTGCAGCATTTAATAATACAGTAAAAACACATTTGTCAAAATTATACCAGTGCTAAAAGTACACAACATGGCGCCCCACATTGTCCTAGCCACAGTGACAGATTAGGAAGGTATGCAGAGTTGTGTTTGGCAGGACAAGCCATTTCCAGAGGGCATTTTGCTTTTCTCACTCCTTATGAGTCATGGTCTGTGCCTTTCCCATGATGCCTCAGCCCAAGAATGAGGTTCAAATACCAGACCAAAAAACACAGAGCAGTTAGAGCCAGGATCACATAATGATTTACTCCACAATGACACCCAACAACGAGAAGAAGCTGTATGTGATTCTGCAAAAGCTTGAGCCTCAGATATAAGGACACAGCTCGCGTTGTGCATCATGTCAGTGCATGTAGCAACAGTTTTAATGCAAACCAATCATAAGATATCAAATATCTCAAAAAAAGTCAGTTAACACATTGAATTTACGTTTTTTAGTATCTCGTTAGTATCTGTTATGGTGTGATGACGGCAACTACTTGATGTGCATACAGCTCTGCCAATAAAGCAAGCTTGTACTGACCTAATTGTTTAAACCTTTTTGTTCCTGTACATAGATTTTACCACTCACAACTTGGCTAAGAAAGCTTTGCTGCATGGGAGGCTGGGTTTGGCATGAGTGACCATGACAAGTCTTGTGTATACTTCTGGGAAACAAATGAGCGTCAACACAGCACATGGCGCACATGTTTCCTATATGAGCTTCACAGAAGGAGGAGTTGCTATCAGGTAATCGGCTGCTACTGAGAGGATCAACCCGAGGTCTGAGTCAACACACTTGACCTCTGACCATATCAGAGCCCAGGTGAATGGACCAAAAGGAAACATTACCCTTTTACAAGGCTAAGCAGATGTCACAACTGAGGGTAAAACACCTCAGGGACTGAATGGTAACATGGTCTAAGAAGTAATTTAAGGGCTCTGCGCCATGGCTGAGGATGAAGCCAGGTGGGGGTGCACTCTTTGAGGACACTCACTGAAGCCTATAAGAGAAACAGCAACTGGTTATGGAGATAAAATAGCACTTTGGAGCCAAATCGTCTTGACATGAGTGAGCAGGTAGCCTTATTCAGTTTTATGTGAAACAAAATCATTTCTGGGTGCTGCTGTGTTTAAGAGAGGGTTCACTGACAAAGAATGCCATTTGCTGTGTTTGGAAAATACACACAGAGCGCAGCAACCGGCTAAAATCTCTTCCATCTGAATTACTCTCGAGTTCTCAAAGATAACAAAAATGTATACACTTAGACAGTTTAGGAGGGATTTGAAGGAACTAGCCAATTAAAACGGAACTGCAGAAAGAGGCATGCTTGTTTGAAATGAACTTATAAAGTCAAAGCTGTGATGACTCAAGACCTCCATACCTGCTGGTTAACTAGGGGCTGACAAATGCACTGGAGAGGATACATGTGAATGAACATGTGAATATATATATGTGTGTGTGTGTGGTTACGTCAGTGCTCATATTTAATGTGTCCTGAGGCTTGAAAAGAGTAAACGCTCTGCTCAGTCACGCACACACTGGTACGCTTGGGCATATAGGCTGGCAGGCAAGTGTGGGAACTCGGTGTTCCAGAAAGCAAAGGAGGGAGGCCTGCGTCACACACACACACACACACACACACACACACACACACACACACACACACACACACACGTCAAGTCCTTCTTAAAACCGTTAAGGATATGCTGGAGCATAATAAGAAGGCTTGAGACCTGTAGAGTGCCCATTTACTCTGATGACCTGCCAATGCCAAACTGCACTACTGAGTGCTAGAGACGTAAGGAGAAGGGAACCTGAACCTGTGTAACAGGAAGTGGATTTATCATGGCCACGTCCCCAAATAACCTTTTCAAATATTAAGATCAGCAGGACTCCAGTTGCAGGTAAGCTTTCTGTAATCGGCAAGTGCTACCCCAGTTCAACGCAGCCATCTGCTGCTCCAAAAAAATAAAAAAACAAGGGCCAGCCACTAAAAATACACACAAGTGTCACGCACTACCAACAAAACGACAAGCTTATTTCTGAAGTACTGTAACTGAAATAGAGCCTGGAATAGGAACTCAGCAGCAATCTATACTGAATTGGATTGTACCTAATTATCAGTGGGGTTGTCAGTTGTCTTATTCACATTTCTCGTTTTTGGATTCAAGTACTGCCAACTTTGTCCTTGGCTCATTGTTGAAGCTCACATGACAGCGTGTAAAATATTAAACATGGCAGATTGGAAACTGGGCCGACAGACATTAATAAAGTGGCCCAAATTTGAAGATACCCCATTTTGCAATGAAACATTGATTAAGCAGGCTATTCAAAATTCAAATGGAAGAAGAAAAAAAAGGAGAGTCTGTTCTGTCCCAAGGGATTTGTTGGGGGAAGTAATAATGAAGTAATCAGTGCTGAAGATGACAGCAGCCTAGAGGAAGACTCAATACAGGCAGATTCACACTTACTGACACAAGAAACTCCAGGTTTAAGTACTACTACAACTAACCATTGATAAATCAACTAATTGTTTGAGCTCCAATCCACTCTTTTGTTTGAGTTTGTGTGTGTAGATTACACTGTGCCAATATTCAATATCTAATCTAATTTTATCCCCAATTATAGCACTCTTGAACCTCAACAAAACTGTTGTATTCACTGTTATCGAGAATCTTATTATCATCATAGAAATTCCAAAATTCTTTATTGATACACAGAATAATGAATTTTGTAATGCAGACTGAGCCACGGCACCTGTTCAGTAAGGGAAACCTTATTAGTTAGAAGAAATACTGTAGGCAGCAGAAAAGGGCAGGAAGAATTTACCAAATGTATAATTCCTCCATCAAACAGCCCTCAATAAAAGTCACTGTATTTGACTAATGCAGTGCAACTGGTAAGGAGGGAGAAATTTGTCAGTAAGAAATAAAATTCCTAGTGAAGTCCAATAACTGCCTGATATATGGGCAATTACACCCACAAGTACATTTGTACCAATTTCAAATGAAAAGTGTTCATATGCACCTGCACAGCCACAAATTATACACATACACACACTCCTGCGATGCCATTGGCCCAGCGTCGGGCTATATTTAGCCCTGGTTCAATCGCTGCCCTAAGTGGTCTTGTTGTGAGAAAAGACTGCCTCAGCCCTGACACAGAACACCATTTTCCACTTCTCTCCCTTCAGCAGCAAACAGAACGGACAAGTGAGCTACACCCTGCTGAATTAAGCCTATTCAGGTAAAATACAGGGGGGAAAAATCTTCTCTCCTCAGCTCTTATTCTGCCCTGTAAACATTTTGCATTACACAGCAGCAACAAGTCCCCCCAGCACCGCACTCCCTGACAGCAAAGGTCTTAGTGAGCACTGTTGTGGGTGGAAGTTCACTGGTATGTCTGTGTTGGCGGCTGAATCTGGAAAAGTGACTCAACATTCAGTGCAACCACACCTATTCTCCACAGCTGTCCTGTCCCTAAGCATCCAGGAACAAACATGCTGGGATTCAAGCTGCATATTTTTTAACTTCAATTCAAACAAAGGGTATCAAACATTTATGAGAGTGATGCATCAGGAAACATTTTGCAGCCAGTCTGTCACGGACGGGTATATAAGGATGTAACAGTACAAGGAATGGAAATGCAGTGCAAATCTCAGCTGAGCGGAATAGCTTTTGGGTCGTAGTCGTCAACTCTGGCTGACCTAGACAAAAATGCTGGATCTATTATCTGGTTTGAAGTTAAATACCTGCGTTAATCTCCTAATTGGATAAATCTCCTGGTATCCCCTAATAAAATCACATGCTTGCCTCTGCAGCCTGCAGTGTGTTTGTCAACATAGTGGATCAACACAAGAACTGGAAAGCATGTGCACAGCAGTGAAATGTAATATTTATGGTTTTGTCAACTATAGCAATTTAACAAGGGCTACATTTCTAAAAATAAATTATGTAAAAATGTTTCATAAGCAGGTTCAGTGATACATTCAGGTTCAATACGATTATTTTGAGCCCATGTCAGGACTACTTTAATCACATATTTTATGTAATATGATCTCCATTGTTCTTTAGTTAACTATTTCACAGTAGACTTCCTTGCACATTTTCAAATAAATCTACGAAGGACAGAAAATATACCTGACCTCTGATAGTAAGCATTGATCCCTGAGGAAGGAAATGTCAAAGGCTGGACTGTCAACTAAAAAAAAGTCATAAGTCCAAATGTTTCACCTGACAATAAAAAAGTGTGTATGCCATGCAGTACCAACCCAAGTCATAAATTTTGCCCTTTGTCAATGTGCAAAAAGCCCTAAAGAGAAGAGGAACATTTTTACATTTGGAAAATACATCAACACCAAGAGAAACACTTCTGTGACATGTGTTGCCTGGTCTGTGGCCAGAAAATGAAGGCAGGAGAATCAGGCCATTTCACACTTTGTCCATCGGCCTAAATGTGTTTGATGCATGGGAATGCAAACAAAGCAAAGCGCCAATGGCATGAGTTTAACACTGGGCAAGTATAATAGGCAGCCTGCTCCTTAAAAGGGGCAGTCTCCACATAAAAATTGCCCTAAGGTGTTATTTCTGTAACTATACATTCAGACATGGGTGCCTCAGCCTGGCCTACAAACTTTGAGAAAAAAAAACATGCAGTTGCCATCAATTCTAAATTATTTTTTGATTTCTAAAAAATATGAAATGTCTCTGAATATACAACCGTCTAGTCTTGCAGCTTCCAGAGCCAAACAATGTCTCACTTCTCACATTCCCACACGTCCTTTCCACTTATTCGAGTATCGCTTGAACTTCAACACTGCTCAGTTACTTTGGTGATGAATTGACGGTGCCACTTGTGCCAGGCTGAGATTAAATCATCACATACTACCGAACACACAAAAACAACTCACCAAAGTATCCAGTAAATTAAAAACTACATTTCCTCTGAGTACCTTTAAAAACGGAGAGAGAAAATGACTCGTACGGAGAGAGGGCAACTTTAACGTTAACAGTTACAGCCCAACTCAACTGAAACAGTAAACGATCCGTTAACGGCGGTGCTTTGAACTGTATAAACAAGAACAAAGATGCAACTTACCGTTCACTCCAAACACCAGACAAGCTGTGAAAAGTTGCAGCCAGAGGAAAATACGTGTCTGCTCCTTCATAGCTGCTGTTTTTATCAGTCGTTGGATGGCTGTAGTTCCTTAGTTAAAGTGACTACTGGACCGCTGGAAGGACAATGACGCTTCGGATGTTGTTGCTACTCTGTGGCTCGCGCTTGTTGTGCGGCTCTAAACGCCCAGGCACCAGGCGCAGAGCAGGAGCACGTGCGCCTCTGCTCTCAGCCAATCGCGACCTGGCTTGTAATTGTAGCCCCGCCCACCTCCGTCCCGCTAATTACACTGAAAAAACAAAAGAAGGGTTAATGGCTAATGTGCTGCATTAAATTTAATGTCTTGATTAAGATCTTTAATATAAAATCCCTGAGGGGAAAATAATTTCCTTCCAACAGTCAGATTTTAACCTGTGCCCTAATTTTTTGTGTTTTCTTCAGTGGTGTATATTCAAGCCTACTTAGGCTACTCAAGTACATTTTTGAGGTACATTTACTTCATTATTGAAATATTATGCTTGTAGGCCCTACTCTATAATTTCAGAGGGAAATATTGTATTTTTTAACAAACAAAGCATATGATTAATTTATAAAATATGATACCCTGCAATACTGTAGATTCATAAAGACCATAGATTTTCCAATAGTGGGCAATATAAAGTAGTTAATATGTGCTCCACCTCCAGCAGCTGTAACATTAAAATGCTGCATATGTGTCAAAGCATGTAATATGATATAATTATATAACTAGGGACCTTTCTGATCAACAAGTAGGCTACTTTTACTTTAATATTACATTTTGTATTCAATACTTTTGTGTTTTCTGGAGTGAAATCCTAAATGTAGGATTTGTACTTACGTAACAGATCATTTAAACAGAGCAGTATATTTTATCTATATATTTATTTGACAGGTGTAGTTACTTAATTTATAAATTAAGATTTTACAGATACAAAACATATGATGAATTCGTAAAATATTAATAGATTGACATTGTTTTCATAGCATAGTATTTTGGAAGGATATATGGATACATCCCCACCACTGAAAGTAAGACATTGGTTTCTTGGTAGATTGCAGCTGACCCCTCCCATCAAGGTCACAAACATTTTCAGTCACTCCCCTCTGGCAGGAGGCTGCGGTCCATCAGGACCAAAACCTCTCTCACAAAAACAGCTTCTACCCTTCTGCAGTTATAGCCTCATTATAGCCTCATCAAGGCCGGGTCCCTCACTGACACTCCCCCCTTCCCTCTCAAATACTGTATATCTTTGCTCATGTAAATATTATTTAATTTCACATCATTGTACATACCCGGTATATTGAACATATTTGTTGTCTGTTGTTAATTGTTATTCTTCTATATTTTATATTTTGTCAATCTATCCCATATTTATATATTTCTACATTCATTTATGTCAACTGTATGTTTGTCTTTGTTTGTCTACGTGTAGCACCTTATCTCCAAAACAAATTCCCCGTACGTGTAAAAACTACTATGCTAATGCTAATTCTTCATGTTTCATGTTATGTTTGCCACACGTCCCTTACTGTGTGTGAAGTGGAGTTTCACATGTGATGAATTCACATAAAATGCATATCCCTTACAAAGAGCACAGATGAAATTAAAAGCAGGCAAATAAACTGAAATATGTTCTCACGGTGGGAATTTATGAACACCTGACACAACTAGTTTCTTCCTTTTACACTTTATTAAGTTCAGTAGCTGCTTAAGACTGACTTTATATGTGCATGTTTGCTTAATTTGATTTTTATTTATTTAATTCAAACAGGGGAGTAAGTGAGTACATCAATGCATCTTTTATCAGTAAGGTCTCCTTGTGTAGTTGCCCTATTCTTAAATAGTTCTGGGAAAATTCCCATGATGGAGCCATGCATGAATTCCTCCTCTGAAATGCAGATTAAGGCCAATGTTTTATTGTGGAAAGCTGAAAGGTTCATCTGTGGGCGTTTCTTGAGGCGAGATCCAGCAGTGGGTCAGAGTTGATTTTGTGCTGTCAGAGGGAGTGGGTGTGAGGCGAAAATTGTTTTTAATGAATGTGAGTTTGAGAGCGATGTCCAAGAATGTCAGACCCTTTCAATTTATTAATCTTTCACCTCATTTCTTTTGCATGGACGAAAATAGTTTAGCTGTAATTCTGCATCCTGCTCCAAATTTAGGAGACAAAAGCACACTAAATATACCAACGGTCACATGTCAACTTTAGAGGATATGAAGCCTGCTTAATGGCCTTGGAAGTATCTTATTGGCTCTTATCTTTACATTTCTTTCCCTGTGGTTTAAAATGTGACACATTCTACAATAGCAGCAACACTAATGAACTCCACATACTTTTATTGGCAGGGTAAAATTTACCCTTCTGTAGCCTAGTAACACGCCAAAGTGATTTAAATGCAGCTTAAAGTGATGTCACGCCTGGCAACTATCTGAAGAGAAAGGCTGCAGCGTTTTTATGGTCTGTTCTCATCACATCTCCATGCTTGATTTATCTCACTGTTCTGATGACGTTTCAATCAAGTGCAGTTGAAAATGATGGTTTAGTCTTAAAACTATTCTGTGTGAAACTAATCGCCCTTCTTCTCACATGCTGGACCAAAAAAAGAGAAATATCCTTCCTCCCAGATGACCTTTTCACATCAAAGCTAAATCTAAAGCCATATGGAGAGATGCTAAGTTCTTCTCATGCTCCCACTCATTAGCTTGATGAGGTCAAACCGAGGGTGAACACACTGTAATATGTGAAGGATTCTGTGACCTCAACTCCTACTTGGCGAGATGAGGAACATAGAGATGAAGAAGAACTTAAAGTGCATATTTCTCTTTAGGAGGTCAAATATATCTGGGATCCTTTATACCACATGCAAATGTGAGCACATGTTATGTGAGGTATTTTCAATCAAGGCAAACTAAGGATATGCTGGGAAACTTAAAGCGACAGTATTATAACAGTATAAGCTTCTTCTGCATTATGGAAGGGACACTTGTTGGGACTTGCTCTTATTTAAGCTAATCGAAACTCAGCTGATTCTGTTCTTATTCTAACCTGTTCTAGTTTTTGTTGTTCCAGTTTTGTCCTTCACACATTATGAATGCAATGAATGGAAAAAAAGCTAAAGCCCCGCCCACCTCCGTCCCGCTGATTACACTGAAAAAACAAAAGAAGGGTTAATGGCTAATGTGCTGCATTAAATTTAATGTCTTGATTAAGATCTTTAATATAAAATCCCTGAGGGGAAAATAATTTCCTTCCTACAGTCAGATTTTAACCTGTGACCTAATTTTTTGTGTTTTCTTCAGTGGTGTAAATTCAAGCCTACAGTACTCAAGTACATTTTTGAGGTACATTTACTTCATTATTGAAATATTATGCTTGTAGGCCCTACTCTATAATTTCAGAGGGAAATGTATTTTTTAACAAACAAAGCATATGATTAATTTATAAAATATGATACCCTGCAATACTGTAGATTCATAAAGACCATAGACTTTCCAATAGTGGGCAATATAAAGTAGTTAATATGTGCTCCACCTCCAGCAGCTGTAACATTAAAATGCTGCTTATGTGTCAAAGCATGTAATATGATATAATTACATAACTAGGGACCTTTCTGATCAACAAGTAGGCTACTTTATTCTAACCTGTTCTAGTTTTTGTTGTTACAGTTTTGTCCTTCATGCATTATGAATACAATGAATGGAAATTTAAAGCTACAGTATTATAACAGTATACGCTTCTTCTGTTTATGTGTTATAGAAAATAACAATTTAGAAGTGACTAAAATTAGACTTTTAATTGGTTCCCCTTATTGAACTATTACTAATATTCTGGTCTCCTTTTAGCAGGTTTAAGCTTATTTGAATTACAAGAGGTGCTATTTTCAGCAAATCAGCTTCCACTATTTTGACTATTCAGCATTAACTGTATGCTGTAGCTAAATAACATTATAAACAGTATTCTCATCCAGAAAATCAGAAATAAATAAAACAGTGGTGACATTGTGTCCTAGGGGTGCTGACCGTGAACTGCAACATCCACAGTTTGAGTCCAGCTGGGAACCAATAAAGCAAAGAAGGGAACTGCCCGCAGGCCCTCAGGGTGCATGAAGGCCCCAGATTGTGGTAGTTAAATTGGACTACTTTGGTAAATTGCAAATCTTTTTATTTTTCTCTTTATCTCTCTCCCCTCATCTACTGTCATGACTCTTTTTTAATTAAGAACTAAATTAAACAAACCACTGTAGATGCTATATGCATAGTCTTGTCTTTTAATTTTTGTGCACCTTTTTAATTAAAACATTAAAAATGTATATAAGTATGTCTTTCTTTATAAATCTCCTAGCCTCCCAGACAGACATTCATCCTGTTCCTAAAACATTTCATATTACCAAACTCACTAACAACCACAATTACCCTAATAAATGCCAGATGATGCTTTAGAAAATGTGAAAGGTTGATGTGGACGACAGAATGCAAAGGGCTGTTTTGATATGTAAAATGGCATCATGTTGAAGGGTGCTTCAGCAAAGACATATAAACCCCTCATGGTTTCTTTTTTTCGGCTCAGAAAAAGACTGTCAGCAAAATCCCTACACTGTAAAACTCATCAGGCAGAAAGAAAAAAACTGCTTCACGAAACCATAAGAACAGATCAGTCATGTGCACTGTGGGCTGGTTGACGAGAAGCAGCCGTCAAATGTGGTGAAACTCCACAATGGCAGCTCCCTCTGATGTTGCTCTCCTCTCCGACAAAGCTTCCTCTCATGACTGACCCTCACTAAGTCTGAGCCAGAGGATGAGGTTAATGATGGTTAGATGGAAGTTCTATGTGACAGAAGCCTGTTGGATCCTAATCCTCAATTTAGAACGCAGCATAATCCTGTAAAGATAAAGCTTGTGAAAATGTGCTAAACCTCAATGCAACACGAAATGCGTCATAGAATTCATAAATTGGTAACTGGTGTGTATCAGTGAATTTTCACTTCCATGTCCCACACAAAAACAAGGTTAAGCCCTTTTCACTTCTGCCTTTTGGAAACACAAGCGAGGATTCAATTACAACAACATCATATACTGTATAAGAAGTGAAAATGTTCAAGCAGGGGAGTTACCATTCCTATGACTGTATTTCTTTGGAAGAAAAAAAAA